TAAGATTTTGAATCGTTTTCGTTGGTAAATGATACCAGTCAATCATGAACACGGCTACTCCGATGTTAGCACTCTGTGATGCAAGTAACATATTTATTAATATATTTTTATATACATTGATATACAAAATGTTTTGTTTTAGAAGAAAAACGTGAATATTTTTTGCAAGTGGTTAAATAAATTTTTAAAATATATGAGTGAATCGAAGTGTTTAAAGCTAATGAAAAAGAAATAAATGATAATTTCAGATTGTGTCTAGAAGTGAGCTTTAAGCTTAATAATTTTTGCATAATTTATCTAGATTGTGAGATTGTGTAGAAAAAAAATTATATTGTAAAGAAAAAAGAAATGTGATTGTTAAAATATTTTCTTACCAAAGATGGCTCAGTGAACATTCTTACAATTACAAAAATAAAAAGTACCTTTTGTATTAGAAGATCACCAATATAGCATAATAAGAACATATTAAATGTCAATGATATTAATAGTAATGCATACGATGTCAGACTAATTATATTATTTTGCTCCCAATCCTGTATAAATATAAAAATATGATATACTTGTAGAAACCAAAATAAAAAAAAACAAAAACGTACCGTAATGCAATAATATTCAAGCAAGCATATTACAAAAGTGGAACTAATAAATTCTAAAAAGAACACTTCTTGCAATACTTTTTCAACCACAGCTGAAAATCTACAATAATACACGATAAGTTTTCATGAACGATAAGTAATGACTTACATCACTTTTATATTTTTACTTTAAAATTTTTATGTGATGTTTAATAATTTCTATCAGTCGTATGTTTGGATTTGAATTTTTCTTGTAAAATTGTTCAGCAACTATGTCATCCAATCGAGATATAATGACGTCGATTTGTCCACAGGCATGGGTTACGAAAAGTGCGGCCAAGCCACAAGCACCAGATGTTACACTATCGAGAACATATCCACAAATACATTGAATACCATATATTATTTCATAAATAGGACTTTTTTGAATACTGTTACTATATGCAGGATAAATCAACACTTTACTCGTTTGATTATCATCATTAATCTGCAATCTCATCGCATACTGCATAATAGAAATATACATAATACCACTGATGTACATGAATAAAATACTATAAATGGTCAAATTTCGACCAACGATACCGTATTTTAACATAAGTTCGCGATTATTTTCCATATTTACCTGTTAGATGGTAAATTTTATTAAAAAAAAGTTTTTATTTATAGATAACTCATATATGAATATTAAGTATCATATATAAATAATAATAATAATTCTAATAAATATTAAAAATGTAAAAATATTATTAATAATAATATAACGTTGTAAACGTGTATTAAAATACGCCTATACACGGAATACATAAAAATATATGTTTTACATATATTTCATGAAATTTAAAAATATAATAAATATAGTATATAAAATATATTATGACATAAAAAAATAATGTTTATTATTAATATATATAACACAATTATAATAGAAATATAGATATTTATATTAACTATATGTTAATTATGTGGAAGTTCAATTTTATTTACTATCCGTGTATTGATATATTTAAATGCACGTGAAATAAAAATCTTTAATAAATATATGTTTTAATTAACTTGTTTCCAATCTAATTGCACTTGTTCGATGCAATGTTTAATTTCTGGTTTGCGTATTGTTAGAGCCCAGTATTTCATCAATGACATAAAAGAGAAAAAAATTAAACCAAAAAACTTTAGTCTTAGCAATGTATCCTCCTGCTCCAATATGATATGCAATGCACTTTGAAACAGGATGAAGAAACACATTAAATTATTAATTCCAATCACGATTTTCGGTAAAATTTTACCGATATTTTTTAATACTGTTGGCCAAATTCCAATAGAAATCAGAACCCACTTGTTATGTTTCGTCACATAAGTTATATCTTTTTCGTAATTAGGATTTCGCGGTTTATTGATTAAATTTCGAACAGAGAAGTGCATGTTGCTAGACAGTAGGAAAGCGACTGTTTGTGATAGTCTGGTGACAGTTGCTGTTGAGCTTATGCTTGCTAATATCGCGTGCGTGCTTCTGTTACTACAATTGTCGATCGATACTTATTAAAAGAAGTAAATAGAAATAAAAGACTGTAATTATAGTGGAGGCTATCAGTTCGTTTTATAAAATTTTATGTTTAAAAATGATGAAAAGGATAGATTGAAAACTAATATTATACATTAGTGATCGATTTTGAAATGATGAGTGATATATTAATTTGTGATAAAAAAATATTTAAAATGTATGTAAATTTAATATATTATGAAGTATTTACTTTTATGTGATTCAAAAATATTTTTTAATGCTGTAAAAATTTGTGAAATAATTAATTTCTACGCTTGCATATTTTCTTCATCTCATAAAAAAATAGATTAATCTTTTTTTGAAATAATAATTAATGAAAAGAAAATATTAAAAATTTAATTTCAACTGAGAAGAGAAATATTTAGAAATTATATATTCAGTGTTTTTCTAACATCTAATAAACTAATGGAATTTAAATTATATATATTATAATTAATACAAATACCTAGTACTTGATACTTCGTTAAAAAATATCTGTGAAAATAAAATATAAAAATATAATGATATAATCCTGTGATAATAATTATAAAAAATAAATTTCATTACCAGTCTGTAACTGTTCGAAGCAAATTCAAATAAACTACTGATGTTTTTGCTACCTAAAAACGATTCAGTATAAAATTTCAATTTAAAAATGTTTTTAAAAATGTTTGAAAAATCAAAACTTACAGAGCTAAATGTATTCAAAGACAATTCGATTATTTTTCCTGCCGTTAATTTTGGTGGATATTGCGATATGGAGATTAATAAAATAAGATCATAAGCTTCCTTAGATGATAATTTATACCAATCAATTTCATAGGAAACTGTACCAATTTGACTACACTAATAATGATTATTGACTTTGCTTAATAAAATATAAAATATTAAAATAAAGGAAATTTTTATAATTACCTGCTCAGTCAGAATTTCACCTATATAGCAGAATATAAATATGTTAAATGTGAAAGAAGTCAATAAAGTAAAAAAAGTTAAAAGTGTAATTGTATCACCTGCTGACCATTCCTGAAAAATAGAGTAAAATTTTTATAATTAGACTTTTTTAATTTTAATATAATTTCATTTAATTACTTACTATTAAACAATAATATTCGAGCATACACATATTTAATGTGCATTCTACGATTTCCGTAAAACATATCTCTCTTAAAGCTTCTTCTATATTATTCGAAAATCTATAATTTTTACACATTCCTTAAAATTCTTTGTCACATTCTAATTTTAAATATTATTCGTTTATTCAAAAACATATTCGATTCTTACCTTAATATTTCCACATGATCGTGCACGATAAGAGCAAAAGGATCACAATCTTCATATTTCCTCTTTTCCTTGTTTTCGACCAAATCTTGTAATCTTGCTATTTGTACCTGAATCTGTCCACAAATATGTGTAACAAAGATTGCTGCTAAACTATATGCAACCGTTGAAATGCTATACATGATCATCGCTGTGAAGCAATGTATACAATATACAATTTCATATGTAGGACTAGACTGTGTATCGAAAAATGGATCATAACCAATGTAAGGTAATGGTCTGATCGTGTGATTATCCTTATTCTTTCCCTTCGATAAAAATTGCATTACAGTGTGATACGACATTCCTCCTGAATATAAAAAAACAGCACATATGGTAATAAGTCTTCTACTAATCGTCGCATATTTTAACATAATCGTTCGATGATTTGGATCCTGCACCATCATCCAATCTCTTTTCATATGTTCAATACATCTTTCAAACGAGGATCCTTTTAAGGCAAGGTAGCAATATTTAATTGTGGATGATACACAGAAACTAACTGGTCCAAGAGCTTTCACTTTCATATTCAAATTTTTCTCTATAAAGAAATAATGATGACCAGATGGTAAGATGATAAATAACAGACTGGAGAAGCACATAGTCATTAGAATGATCGAAACGAGCTGTTCGAATTTCTTAGTTTGATTGGAAATGAGAGGCCACACTCCGATTAGTTTCAATAACCATTGACACATTTGTAATGTGTAATGTATATCACTCTTATAATAATTATTTTTCAACTGACTTTCAATATTGTGGAGTGATCGATCATGCATAGTGACAGTTGAAGTGTTTACTGTCGACTGATCGGCAGGTTAAAAACTTTCTTCGCGATATCGTTAGAACGCAAGCGCATGTTTCTGCGTTTTTATGAATGTATATGAACTT